AGTGATAGCTATAGCCTACAAAGGAGTGCCCCAGTTCCCCTGCCAGGCATATTCCCAGCCCCAGATCTTGCACCTGCCAGGGACTACTGTGGTCCAGCCTGACATGACTCGTACCCAGTCCTGACACTTGCCAGCTGATGCTGAGGCCTAGCCTGAGGTTCACTTATCATTCCTACTCCTAGCCATGGGTCTTATATGTGCCAGCAAGTGATGCAGTCCAGTCTGAGATGACTTGCCCATAGTCTTGGCGTTCACCAGGCAGTGCTACAACCTGGCTCAGCCAAGTCTACCCCCTTAGTCCCAGCTCTCACTAGCAAGAACAGCAGCCCAGCCTAATCTGGCCCATCACCAGCCCTCATGTGAACTGGTGGGTGTTGTGGTCCTATCCAGCCTGGCCTGCAACCTGTCCTGGCCTTCACTCATGCCAATGTCTGCTGTGGACTGACCCTGCCTGGCCCTCTCCCAGTCCCAGCACACAGGTATGCCAACAGATGCTGCTGCCCAATCATGATCTAGCCTTTTCCGAACCCAAGCTGTCGTGCTCATCTGCAGGAGCTGTGCTTACCAGGGGAGTTTCCCATGTTCTCTTCTCAGGCCTGATCCCAGCAAGGGATCTCGTGTGTCAGCAAGTGCTGCTGCCAAAACTGATGTGGCCAGCCCTCAGTCCTGGCACCAGCAGGTACTGTGGCCTAACTTAGCCTGTCCTATACCCATTCTGTCTCTAAACCTCCAGTGAGTGCTGGAGCCTAGTCCAGTCTGGCCCTTCCCCAGACACAGCTCACATGCATGCTGAGGGTTGCTGCAGTCTTGCCCACCCTGGTCCGCACACAGTGCCAGCTCTTGCCTCACCAGTGAGAGCTGCAGCCCAGCAATGGAGTTCCCAGATTTCCTCCACCAGGCTTATTCCTAGTCCTGGTTCTTGCATGTGCTGGTAGGTGTTTCAACCCAGTCTAGCACAGCCCACCACAGTCTCAGTTCTTGCTGGCAGGTGTTATAGCTTAGCCCAGCTGGGTGCAGCCTACATGCTGTTCTGACTCTTGTGTATGTCAGTATGTGATAAGGCCTGGCTGTACTTGGCCTAGCCTGCCCCCAACTTCAGCTCTTATACTTCCCAGAAGAAACTGTGGCCTAGCAGGGAGTTTCTCAAATTTTCCTACCATGCCTGTTTCCAGTGCCAGATCTCATGCATGCCAGCAGGGTCAGTGGCCCTGCTCAGCATAATTTTATCTTAGCCACTGCCCTTGCCTATGCCTAAGTGCTGCAACCTGGCCTCCTGACACTCCCTCAAGTGTCAGTTGGGTTCCTGTCAGGTGAGTTCTGTGGCCCAAACTGGCTCAACCTGTCACTGGATTCAGCTCTCTGCTTAAATCAGTAGGTGCTGCAGTTCTACAGAGCTGAGCCCACAATCTCCCTACAGAATCAGCATCCAGATCCAGTAATCTCACATTCTGCTGGGTGCTTTGTCCCAGCCTAATGTAATCCATCCCGTGCTCTGACACTCGCGGGTAGGTACTGCAGCCTAGCCCAGCCAGGAATGCCCTGTAGCCCCAGCTTTTGCATGTGCCATGGGGTGGCAGGCTATTGAGCCTAGCCTGTGTCTCCCTCATGGGCAGGTGCCTTGGTCCAGACATTCTCTCCGATTTACCCTCTCTAAATCAACTCTGACTCAGCTCCCTCACCTACCTGCGAGTGCAGTGTCTGGTCTGGTCTGTGTGGGAGATCCCAGAAGTCATTCCTTCCTTGTCAAACATGCTCTCAGCTGCTCCCACTCCAGTACATCCTCATACCCCCTTTCCCAGGCAATGTGTAGCCCAAGAGAGAGAGATAGAGAAAGAGAAAGAAAGAAAGAAAGAAAGAAAGAAAGAAAGAAAGAAAGAAAGAAAGAAAGAAAGAAAGAAAGAAAGAAAGGAAAGAAAGAAAGAAAGAAAGAAAGAAAGAAAGAAAGAAAGAAAGAAAGAAAGAAAGAAAGAAAGAAAGAAAGAAAGAAAGAAAGAAAGAAAGAAAGAAAGAAAGTTAGTTGCAAAGAGCAACTGTGTTAGCATACTGGAATATTTAACACAAACTTGGCATTAACTCAGAATGTTCATCAGTTACTGGCTTCTTTTCTCTCTCATTGTAACACTTACCTAGGTACAGGACAACCTATCCAGTTGCCTATAGCTGGGGCAGGTATGAAACTTTATACAAATTGTATTGCATAAGCTTCATTCTGAAATTTGGTATTTGGCTAATACTATCTCTTTGAGACTTAACTATATTGATTCTTTTCTTCTTACTGTATTTTTCCATTATCTAAGTTCACTACCATTTTTGTAAATACTAATATATTTAAACTTATTTCTAAACTGTTATTTTTTTCTGCTTAATATCATTTTCCTTTGTTTATTATTTGCTGACATTTATTGGTGAAACTGTTGCTATGTCCTCCACCCCCACCTCTAACTTTCAGAAGCAGCAGGTTTCCCAGAGCACCCAGTCCCACTTGTTTCCCCGGAGTTGGGCTCCTCTTGCCCTGCCATATTTGAACACAGAGCTATCAGGCTTCAACCCTGCTCATTTGTCCATGGTTCTGCCCAGGCTTTTATGTCTAGAAGTCTACTCACCAAGCATAGCCTTTTCGTTTGTTTTGTTTTGTTTTTATTTCTCTGATTTTTTTTCTAAAATTTTAATGACACCGGGGCCGGTGCAAATGGCTCAACTGGCTAATCCTTCACCTACAAGCACCAGCATTCCATATGGGGAATGATGGTTTGTGTGCCAGCTGCTCCACTTGCCATCCAGCTCGCTGCTGATGGCCTGGAAAAGCAGTGGAGTACAGCCCAGGGCCTTGGGACACTACACCCATATGGGAGAGCTGGAAGAAGCTCCTGGCTTCTGGCTTCAGATCAGCCCAGATCCAGCTGTTTGGGGAGTAAACCAGTAGATACATGATTTTTCTCTGTCTCTCCTTCTTTCTGTAAATCTGCCTTTCCAATAAAAATAAATAAATCTTTAAAACACTTTAGTAACACAATACAGATTACATGATTTTACAGGCAAAAGTGGTTATAAAAACATAAGCCATATAATCTTGATTGAAATTGATTTCTCAAGAGTATTTTGGGAAATAATAGTTGTGCATATTTTCAAAATGCCTACATATGCCTTATAGTCAGAATCATACAGTTTTGGAATAATGATGGTATAGCTTACTGTTTCCCTGTTAACTTCTTTTTTGTTTAAATGTTAAGATCTGGGACATATCTCTTTATAACTATAAATACATTCATTGATGAACAAATATTTGTCGAGGGCATACTCTGTCCCATGTTCTATTGTAGATGATAGAAATAAGACAATTTTCCCTCTCTGACAAAACTTAAAATCTGCTTGGGAAAGAGGTAACATGCAAATGAGTAAACAGTAAAAACTACAGGTACTGTTAAGAGAAAGTATAATTGGGAAGAAAAAATGATGGGAGGCTCTGACTCTGAGGAAGATGGAGTAAATACAATTCACCCAAGATCCCCACTAAATATTGGACAGATACATGGAGCAGTTATGTAAAGTTGCTATGTAAAACAAGGAATGACACCAGATTTTGAAATTCTGCCAAACTTAATCATACATGTATCGGTTCCGTCAACCTCTGGAATGACATGGGAGATGATCAGAAGTATCCCCCAACCACAGAATAAGCAGCAGGTATAGAAATAAGCTTTTCTGGTACTCTGCTATTTCTGTAGAACGTGGCATCCTTGACCACTAAGACCTTCTTTGACTTGTGTAAAACTTCTTTGACTTGATCAGGAAAACAATCGAAGAGATGTTAACTATAATCAAATATTCTCAAAACAAAATACAATATAAAGTAAGTATATGAAAAAGATATTTCAAAAAGCTCTTGGAAAATGAAATTAAAAGATAAATTTAGGGCCCGGCATGATAGTCTAGTGGCTAAAACCTCGCCTTGCATGTGCCAGGATCCCATAGGAGTACCAGTTTGATTCCCAGCTGCTCCACTCCCCATCCAGCTCCCTGCTTGTGGCCTGGGAGAGCAGTAGAGGGTGGACCCTGAACCCATGTGGAAGACCCAGAAGAATCTCCTGGCTCCTGGCTTTGGATCAGCTTAGCTCCAGCCAGTGGAGCCACTTGGGGAGTAATCCAGCTAATGAAAGATTTTTGTCTCTCCTTCTCTGTGTAAATCTGCCTTTCCAGTAAAAATAAATGTATTTTTAAAAAATGATAAGTTGGGCCCGGTGTAGTAGCCTAGCCACTAAAGTCCTCGCCTTGAACGTGCTGGGGTCCCATATGGGCACTGGTTCTAATTCCAGCAGCTCCACTTCCCATCCAGGTCCCTGCTTGTGGCCTGGGAAAGCAGTTGAGGACGGCCCAAAGCCTTGGAACCCTGCACCCACGTGCAGGACCTGGAAGAAGTTGCTGCCTCCTAGTTTTGGATCAGCTCAGCACCGACTGTTGTCGTCACTTGGGGAGTGAGTCATCAGATGGAGGATCTTCCTCTCTCTCTTCTCTGTATATCTGACTTGCAATTAATAATAATAATAATAATAATAAAGATAAGTTTACTTTGGTACAGGTAACTTTGAAACTCATTCGTGCTCATCATTTAAAAGAAGTGACAGATCCTCTTTCTTATTGTCCACTCATCAATTTGGCATCAGTTTTTAAGGGAATGCTGCATTTGAACTGAGATTTTTTATAACATTTTAGTGTTTGTTTTGTTGGTGGTATTGTCATTGTGTGTTAGGGTGTGTGTGTATGGGGATGGTGGTGGTGATGGCAATTTTATCAAAATGTATTGCTTTCAAAGCTAGAAAGGGTTAACAATGACATAACAGATTCTTATCTTTTGTCTGGGATTTCCTGTATTGTCTAACTTTTCTACATTTATTGTGTATGTACTTTTCAAGCAGAACAATTGTACCGCCATGTAGCTACATTTTGAAGCATGTGTTAACCCAGTAAGTGATGCTTTCCTTGCCTTTGATGTTGATGTGCAGGTGTTCCCTCTGGCACACGTGTGCAACGACACAAATAAGATGACGTTAATTAACCCCCAAGGAGTCAAGTTCAATCTCTACAAGCAAAAAGTGGAACGGGCAATTAAGTCCTACGAAAAGTAAGTATCACACCTAGCTACTCAAGTTTATTTGTTGAGTTTGGCTTATTTTTTTTTTTTAATTAAAGCTTCAGTTTTTCATCTGAAGCAGTTCTTTAAAAATTGCCTCAATGCCAGCATGAGCCCCAGCAGCTAATACAGGGGCGTCCTGTGTGCCAGGCACTGTGTTCATGTACCCAGATATTTTCAGCAGTTTTTAAAAAACCATCTTCCTTTTTCAAACTCTATTAGAGACACCACATGTTTCAATGAGATCCTTAGAATGTTCCATTGGGCAGACAGGATTTGATCTCTTTGTCGCCTATCATTCTATAAAGTGATAACCAAAACCCTGCAGTGAGAAGATCATTTATATCACACAGTTGACTTCAATATCTGAAGATTTTTCATCCCAGGATTTGAACAATTCCAGATGAAAAAAAAAATTTAGGTCCATGCTGTCATGCACAGATTTTATTGTTGCCATTATTCCCTGAACAATGAAGTACAGCTGCTACCTACTCAGCATTTAACTTGTATTAGGTGTTATAAATAATCTCTGCAGATTCAAAGAGTACCAAGGAATATACTATTGTAATAATATAAGGAAAATCAGCGGGGGAGTGGAATTGAGACGGGAAGAGGGAAAATCCCTAAGCCTATGGAACTGACTATCATAAATAAATTTTTAAAAAAGCAGTATATAGGAGGATAAGCTTAGGTTCTATGCAGATAATACACCTCTTTACAGAAGGGACTTGGGATATCCTAGAACCAGTCTCTCACAGATACTGAGGGGTGACTTTTTGACTACATAATTGAAGCATTTTATTTTTGGTATCAAGTTCAAAGTAGTGATCAGGTTGGCAACAGTGCAAGTGATACTCCTTAATAGTCCCCGTGTCTGTGCTGACACAGGAACCTCTCCCCACGGAGGCAGATGGCCCAGTCACTACCCTTCCCCACCTCTGCCATCTCGTACTTAATTAATCCTTGCTACACAGCACTTAATTAAACTTCCTGCATGCCCACCTGCTTCAGGCCAGGCCATTCTTTGTTCTGGAAGCTGTACAGTTGGCATTTACATTTCCCACCCTGCGGGTGGAAAAAATTAAGATAAAGTATGTAAAAATGAGTGCTGTGGCCCAGGTCAGGATTTGTTGATCTGTTGTCATTTGGCAGTCTGTCTAGTATCACATTCGAAACAAAGCACAAAGCCTTTCTCCTACCCACGGAGAGCACACCGTACATCCAGTGACGGGCCTTGCGCCCAGCTCCTCCTCAGCCCCACCTCCTCTGGAACCCAACTCTGCAGAACTGAAGCTAGCTTGGCTTATTGGTGCCTCTCTTTGTCTCCATGGGTCCTTTGTCTTTGTCTGCGAGGCAGGTGAGCCATCCCAAGCCATGTTCTCTCCCATGGGCCTGTGACTTCCAGCCAGACCTTTCTTTTCTCCCAGCCTTGATTTCTTCCAGTTACACTGCTGTTGCTCCTCCTTCCTTGCCTCAGCACCAAGGGCCCCCTACTAAAGGCCTTCCCTTGCAGCTGACTCTTGGAGCACTTGGGTTTCTGCACCTGGGCTGTGGCTTGTGGACTGTCTCTGCTCCATGAGGTGTCAAATCCCAGGGTCAGTAGCTTTGCCTACCACTTTCCTTCTTCAGCTGTTCCTAGAAGATGTCATAATATAGAAATAAATATATATGTACACACACGCATGTATATGTGTATAAGTGTATCTGACCGTTGTAGTAACCATTTAGGGATTGAATCAATAGATGGAAGATTCTGTTGGGTTAGAAATACATATTTGCAGATTTGGCTATCTGAATTCAATTCATATTTTATATGATTCCAGTTTAATTGTTGAAACGGTTCAAATTCAGTTATTCCAAATGCAAATATAATGCCATTCTAATATAATCTGCTTCAATAACTGAAGTGTTCGAGTCCTATAATTATCTGGTTTGAGGAAGCCTGGTGCAGGGCACAAGCTACAGTTTTTGGGGTCAGACAATGCCTGTGGGCTTCATTCTCAGCCCCGATGCTCACTGTTGGCTAGTATGTGATGACCATAAGCCTCAGCTTCCTTAGTTGTAGGTCCTATGCCACAAGACTGCTGTGAGGAGTATGCAAATTATATATAAAGAGCAATGAATGTGAATTACTTTCCGGTTTCATTGCCTGAATTCACTGATCCTAAAATAAACACAAATATCAGGAGTTTAATGGGCACTCTCTTCTTGTACCACCACGTTGACTTTTTCCCAGTGATTTAAAGGACAAGAATCCCATTCTTCCTCAAAAGCAATGTCAGGAACACGGGCATGGTGACATGTCCCGTTTCTCAATATGAGAGAGTGAATTTCTCTCGTTTTAGAGAAATGGTGTCCTCTTGCTTGGGAATCATGCTCAGAAACCTCATTTTAGGTTGCTACTGCCTCTGAATGCCATTAGTTTACATGTGACTCTGAAAATGAGTCATTTCTTGGTGCAAGTGGAACTGAAAACTACAGCTACAGAAAGTTGGTAAATGCAAGCTCTTAGCCAAATGTCGCTCCTCTACAACAAAGAGGTGACCGTTGCCGAAGCTCCAAGTCAAAGGGCTGAAGCAGTCTCCTAGGGGCCCTATGTCCATGCCCTGGGTCTTCCTGCATTCCACAGGGATTCTCCTCTTCCCACATAATTGCTTTCCTGTGTTCACCTCCTTGCTCAGTAGAGCACTTTGAAGTACTTTGACGGGAGATGGGAAGTAGGGGAATAGCAGAGACCATAAGAATGGACTCTTAGAAATATATCATTTAAATAACTGAATTAAAATTGGAGATGCAGCTGTCAATGTTGTGCCACCACCTGCAGTGCTGGCATCTCATATGAGCACCGGTTCAAGTGTTGGGCGCTCCATTTCCTATTTAGCTCCCAGTCAATCCCAAGTATTTGGGCCCCTGTCACCCATGTGGGAGGTCTGGAAGAATCTCCTTGCTTATCTTGACCCAGCCTTGACCGTTGAATCAATAGATGGACGATTCTCTTTCAAATAATTTTTTTTTAATTAGAGAAATGTTTTAGCTAATTGTATCTGCAGTCACCCAGAATTTGTCAAGTTTCTAGGTCTTACCCTTCTTCAGAACCTGGAGGGAACAAACATTGAGGTATTCCTGATGATTTTATACATATATCTCACTTCATCCTCTCAATGCCAAGAGTACATGATGCTATCCTTGACTCACTAATGAGAAAACAGTGTCATTGAGATGTACAACATAGGATCACAGAGCCACCAAGCAGGGCCCTGGGATTTGAACCCAGACCCATGTCACTCCCAAGCCCTTACCCAAGCTGCAGCCTTCCTGCTATACTACATCCATTTTCCAGTTTAGCTAGAGGGGGGTTTTTATAACTTTTTTTTTAAATTGGAAAGTCAGATATACAGAGAGAACGAGAAAGATATACAGAGAGAATAGAAAGATCCACTGATTCACTCACCAACTGGCCACAATGGCCAGAGCTGAGTCAATCCGAAGCCAGGATCCAGGGGCTTCTTCTGGGTCTCCCATGCATGTGCAAGGTTCCAAGGCTTTGGGTCATCCTCGACTTCCTTTCCAGGCCTCATGCTGGGAGCTGGATGGGATGTGGAGTTACTGGGACATGAACCAGCACCCATATGGGATCCTGGCACATGCAATGTGAGGACTTTAGGCAGTAGGCTATTTCACTGGGCCCTTGAGTAACTTTTTAAAAGAAGAGTACATACTCCTGCACTCACACTGAAGTCCCACAAAAATGGATACTACAGATCCTTTCAACCAGTCTCAAAGTCCTAATCTGGCTGATTTCCTTTTTCCTGTCTGTTTCCCATCTCCCATAGAAGAGTTAACTGTGTGTGGCACAACTGTGCATACACCAGCTCAGTGAATCCTCATGGCCACATGGACAGTGGGGGCTACTGTTGCTCTAGCTGGGTACTAGTCCAGGTCTCGCAAGTAGGAAAAGAAAGAGCTGAGCTTGGGCAAAGCATTGTGACTGAATCTGCGCTCTACCTCCATGTTGGACCCCTTTTCCTTGTTCTCCCCAGAACAGGCAGCTGCAGGACAGGATAGCACCTCCCTGCAAAGTGTGCTCTCAGGACCCTGGCCCACTGATGCTGGCTCCAGTGGCTGGAAGAAGGCCTCCTGGACAATGTGGTGTTCTCTCACTCAGTTTTATTAAAGCAAGTTTATTTTTCATGGACTATTAGCTCAAACCCTCCCCAAGAGCTGGCATTCTGTATTCTGAACTCTAGGAAATCCGCTTTCAGTGGGAAGTGATGTAGAACTGAGCTGCGCTGGAGTTCTGAAAGAGACATCACTGAATAGTGTAGCGAGAGGAGCTGTACCTTCCTGTAGGAGCTTCCAGCTCCAGCATCCTGGGTTGGCAGCACCAGAGCAGGGCTGGTGGCTCAGCTAGCTGGGGGCGGCAAGGGGAGGGAGGAACAAGGCACAGCTCCTGTCTGCCTCTCTCAGCTCATCTGGATAACAGGGCCATCAGGGTACCTGATCTCTCAAGTGTGTCTCAGCCTCTTTCACTCTGACAATCCGGCTGAAGGATGTCTGCAGAAGGAGGGCACAGGTGTGTTTTCCTGAGGAAGAAAACTGGTGGGTGTCTAGAAGCTCCTTCACACACATGCAGTGAGGACCAATTTGTTGCCTGGCCTTTATCTGGCAGTGCTGAGAGCTGAGCTCCCCTGTAGCATTGGACAGAGCTGCCACAGATCCTTGTGACTCCTACAGTGATGCTGAGGGAATGAGCCGTGCTGGTCCAGTCTCTCCAAGTAAGTGACAGAGACAGGGCTCAGCTGCGATGGTGCTGGGTTTGAGCTCCCCCTGCAGCACCCCTCAGAGTCCTGGGGATTGACCTTTGGCCTTGACATGAAGTACTGTTACTAAATCGCTGCTGTTTTAAACAGGCGCTTGAATAAAATTGTATGGAGAGCGTTATCTGAAGAAGAAAAAGAGAGGTAAGCCATTCTCTTCCCTCCCTCTGTACCGCGTTTCAATTTTGGAGAATCCCTTTTAACGTAAAACCTATCATTTGAAAGTGTATAATTCAGTTGCAATTACAATATTCACAATGCTGTGCCAACCGATGTCTATCTCCAGTTTCAAAACTTTTTCATCACCCTGGAAAAACACCTTGAACCTAGAAAGCAATCGCCTCCCATTTCACCTCCTCGAGCTCCTGGTAACCACAAGTGTGTCGTTTTTCTTTTTCACAATTTATTATGTGAGAGGCAGAGTGGTAGGGAATGAAATCCATGATCCATTGGTGCATCACTCCCCAAATGGCTACAACAGCCAGACCGGGCCATGCAGAAGAAGCCAGGAATTCCATATGGGTCTCTGTGTGGGTGGCAGAGACTCCAATATTTGAGCCTATTAGGGGACTGAATCCGTAGCAGATTCACTGAGATTCTAACTGGCACTCTGACATGGGCGGCAAGGTGTCACAAATGGCAGCTTCACATGTAGCACCTCAGTGCCTGCCCTCACTAGTCTGTCTGATGTCTATAAATTGATGTCTTCTGAATGTATTATTTAAAAAGCACCATTTAATGTATGACTTCTTGTGTCTGGCTTTTACTTAGTACAAAAGGTTAATGTTTCTAAAATTCATCCAAGTTGTACCATGTGTATGTGTGTGTGTGTGTATTGTATGTGTATATATATATATGCAATTTATATTTTATATATATTTATATATTTTTATATTATATATATATATATAAAATCATTTGTTTATCAGTTCTCCCACTGATGGGACATTTGGACTGTTTCCATTTTCTGCTGATTATAAACTCCATTGATCCATGTGTTTTCTTTTGAAAGATTAATTTATTTGAAAGGCAGAAAGAGAGGGAGAGACAGAAAACAGAACAATCTTCCATCTGCTGGTTCACTCCTGAATGACACAACAGCCAGTGCTGGATCAGGCCAAAGCCAAGAGCCTGGGACCCTGTCTGGGTCTCCCATGTGGATGGCAGGGAGCTGTTCTCCCAGGCACATTAGCAGGGAGTTGATGGCAAGTGGAGCAGCTGGGACTCGAAACAGATGCTGTGTTGTAGATTCCAGCTTGACCCTCTGCAACACAAAACCATCCCTAGGCCACGTGTTTTCATTTCTCTTGTGTACACCTAGGAGTAGATTTGCTAGTCACACTTTAATTTTGTGCTTAACTTTTTTTTAAAAAAAAGATTTATTTATTTATTGGAAAGTCAGATATACAGAGAGGAGGAGAGACAGAGAGGAAGATCTTCCGTTTGGTGATTTCACTCCCCAAGTGAGCGCAATGGCCGATGCTATGCCGATCTGAAGCCAGGAACATCCAGGAACTTCTTCTGGGTATCCCACACAGGTGCAGGTTCCCAAGGCTCTGGGCCGTCCTCTACTGCTTTCCCAGGCCACAAGCAGGGAGCTGGATGGGAAGTGGAGCTGCCAGGATTAAAACCGGCGCCCATATGGGTTCCTGGTAGTTCAAGGCAAGGACTTAAGCCACTAGGCCACACCGCCGGGCCCTTTGTGCTTAACTTTTTGAGAAACATTCAAATTGTTTTGCACAGCAGCTGCGCATTTTACATTCTTACCAGCAATTTGTGAGGTTTCTTGTTTCTCTGTATCTTCATCAACACTTGTTCATTTTTTAACCCATTAAGTCCTAAGTTTTCAGTTCTGTGAATATCACAACAAAATTAACACAGGTGTGTTAAAATACATTGGAAACCGTAATCTAGAGGTTGTGTATCTTTTGTTCTCATTAAGAAAATCCAGGTTGTCCTATAAACAGGATACTATGAATATTATCTTTCACATGCATATATAAGCTGTCCTGTAAATGGGACATTAGGCAAATAAAATATCATTTCATACATTGCATGGTGTGTAAAGAAGCAACTTTTATAACTTGCTTAATCATTTTTAGTGGAAAAGAATAACTCAAAGGATTACATTAAATTTTCACCAGATGTTCCTAACTTCGCATGATATGTCTTCTTTTGACACAACTGTTGCCCTTGCTGTGACTTCTCATGTCAAATCTGATATCATCTTGACTAGTCATGGGTCCTGGAGTATTACACTTTCTTCTTCCTGATTGTTTCTTATTACTTCATTTTTAGGTATGCTAAGCAAATGTCTCCTTTAGTATCCAACAATGTTGTTAGATCTTTGTTGTCTTTCCTCAAATTTGTAATTAATACATTCATTTATAATACACATCTCGGTTATTCAAGTGAGCAAAGGCCAACTGCATTTTCCACCCCCAGTGGAAGTGGAGTATTTGGAAACTAACCAGTTGTGTTTATCTGCATCACCACTTAAAAGGTTGTGGGTGCCCAGAACCTTGTTTTGAGGCACATTGGCTATAGTCTATACTTTTTCCATTGTTGAACTTCACCACGTGGTTCCACTGTATGGTAGTCTGATTCTCTAGCCATTTTACAGTGAGAGTTTTATTGCTCATGTTGAATCTGTAATCATATGACCTCTTGCTTGTTTCTTCACCTGCCTGTGTCATGTGTCAGTTTCAGAGGACACTTGTTTAATCTGTTTTCCCTTGTAGTGCCTTTAGTTTGCAATCCCAGTGCTTCACGGCTGTTCCAAAAAAGTCTTAACCAGTGAAAAGACTGTAAGAAAAGTATAATTGTGGATTCTTTTGTAGAACAACCTTAGTCTCAAGCACACAAGACAAAGATTTCCAACAAATAGCCACAAATAGCAACACATGAGAGTTTGTTGGGCAGCAGAGCTGTGTACCACACATTACTATATAGTTCCAGTGTGCTATTTATGGAACAGCTGTTTTGGAATAATGACCATCACAAATACAATGCATTCTTCAAAATGAAATGACAACCTACATAATGCATTTCTTTTGCATTAAGTAGTTATCAGTAGATATCAGTTATATATGTTATCATTTATTCAATTGGATATTTAGTAAGAATGATTTTGTAGTAAAGTTCAGGCAATTTTTTAAAAGATTGATTTTTATTGGAAAGTCTGATATACAAAGAGGAGGAGAGACAGAGAGGAAGATTTTCCATCTGTTGATTCACTCCCCAAGTGAGCAGCTGCATCGGCCAGAGCTAAGCCAATCTGAAGCCAGGAGAGAGGAACTTCCTCCAGGTCTCCCACGCGGGTGCAGGGTCCCAAGGCTTTGGGCCATCCTCGACTGCTTTCCCAGGCCACAAGCAGGGAGCTGGATGGGAAGCGGGACTGCCGGGACTAGAATGAGGGCCCATATGGGATCCTGGCACATGCAAGGCGAAGACTTCAGCCATTAGACTACCATGCTGGGCCCGAGTTTAGGCAATTTTCAGAGAACTTAGAAACATTTTTTTAAAATATTTATTTATTTCTATTGGAAAGTCAGATTTACAGAGAGAAGGAGAAATGAAGAGGAAAATCTTCCATACACTGGTTTACTCCCCAAGTGGCTACAATGGCAGAAACTGAGCCGATCCAAAGCCAGGATCCTGGAGCCTCCTCTGGGTCTTCCAGATGGGTGTCAGTTCTAAGAATGAGGGGATCTGTGGAGTTTTTCTTTATTAAAAACATGTCATCTACAGACACAGGCTGTATATTTTAAATAAATAAATAAATCTTTTTTTTTTGTAAGTATGACTTAAATCTGGCAACAGTTAAGTATTCCAGCTTAACCAGTAGATGAGAGTCTGCTCTCCTCTCTCTGTATTGCCTTTCACATAGACAGTTTAATTAAAAACATTTTAAAAGAATAGCTAAACTTTGAGAGATTACATTTAGTAAAGGGACTGTGAAATTTACATGTAGACTCACAAATCAGTGTATAGCTTTGTAGATGTCTATTGAAACTAACCCCACAGTTATTTCAACTTATGAAAGAGTTGAACATACATAATTGAAGCTTTCTCCTTTTCTTGACTCTCTGGAAACTGCTTACGTTTCCATTTAAAAAAAAAAAGTTACTCTGAATAGGCAACCATTCATTTAGCAGCAGAACTATTTTCTGCCATAAGTAGGTTAAGAACATAGCCCAGGCCTAGTAGAGGAAATGCACTGCCCTGCAACCTCACACCTTGGTAGCATGAGAGCCAGGGCTGGGGGCGAGCCAGGCTGGTCAAGAGACAGCAGCTGTCAGTATATGTGTGCACCTGATCTGGAGGGCAGGTCAGGCTAAACTAAACTTCAGCACCCTTGAGTGTGCACAAGAGCCGGATAGGATGCGGGATGGACTGGACTAGGCCACAGCGCATACTAACACATGCAAAAACCAGGGCTGGGGCCCGGCACAGTGGCGCAAGTGGTTCAGCATAGCATCGACCGTTGCGGCTCACTTGGGGAGTGAATCATCGGACGGAAGATCTTCCTCTCTGTCTCTCCTCTCTGTATATCCGCCTTTCCAATAAAAAATAATAAAAAATAAATCTTTAAAAAAAAAAAACCAGGGCTGAGGGCAGACTTGGTGGGGATTATTGAGGATCAGCATGACTAGGACATGGTACCCACTGGTATACATGAAGACCAGGCATGAAGACATGGGCTGGGCTGGGCTAGGTCACAGCACCTATCAGTTTTTGTGAAAGATGGGGTAGGGCTGACAAGGCAGCTGCATCCACTGGTATGTGCACTGGCTGGTACAGGTGATCAACCAAACTTGACCCTGAACATTTCTGTGTGAGCACACACACACGAATCAAATCTGAGGTCATCCCAGGTAAGGTTTCTCAGGGGACTCCCCAAACCCTGGCCACAGGGAAAAATCACAATATATGTGGTCCAGTCTTGGAATGCATCAATGGCGGACTGAGTCTGTTCAGTTGCTGATGCTTATGTAGTAGACAGCATGCCCAGATGCACACGAGGGACAAGACAGCCAGCTCATTTAGGCCAGCAGAGGATGTCGAGTGCAATATCAGAGGATGAAAAGTAAAGTAGGTTGGACCTCTCTTTTACCAAGCTTTCAGTATGTTCCTGGGTCTGT